AGATGGAAAATATAAGGATGATCATGAGAAAAAACAATGGATTACAAAATGGAGTGAAAATGAAAGTTACTCTTAGGGAAAACTTTCTCCCACCAAATATATTTTAGCGTCTTCATTAATGAAATACTGATGGCTCGAGACCTACATACAATATGGACCTGTATTTTTGATTGTAGATATTGTTACTTATTCTGAGGATTTTGTTTTGCACAACTAAAATTTTAAGACTGCTTGAACTGATTTATCTGCATTATTTAAAATTGCCTCTATGACTAACTCACATTTATAAACAGCATATTGAACTGACTCTTCTATGAAGTATGCACATCAGTGTACAATAAGGACTTCAGCATACTTGAAGTCAGTGAGTGTGCAAAGAATGTAAGATCAGATGCAAAATATCATCTCCTTCCCCCTCCTTATTGTGTGTAGCCTGTTATATATCCTGTGGTCTTTAAACACTTTTTCAAGTAGAATCTGAGGTCTGCAGCTACAGCAATTGGGGCTTAACCTAAAGTGTAGTCTGAAGTTGAACATACAAATGTCATGTTGCTATAATTTTTCTAATGGGGGGGGCATGTGTAGATGAAACGGGGGACCTCAATTGAAGCGGTGGGTTCTAAAAAACACCGCTTCAATTTAGGGATGATTGAGCCCATGTATCGTGCACGCATCTTTGCTGCCTCTCCTACGGGGAGGGGAGGGCAAGCTGCCGGCGGGCAGAGCAGTCCCTGGGCTGCAGAGAGGGGCTAGTGCTTCTCTCTGCGGCAGCCCCCCGCCCCTCCGGGCAGCACCCATCTGCAGGCACCTGGCTTGGGCGGTCCTGGGGGGCACCGCAGCCACAGAGGGAAGCACCAGGCCCCCACGCAGCTGAGGCAGGTAGGCAGGCTCTGAGGGGGAGTGGGGAAAGATCAGGCTTGCCACTTTTCTTGGGCAGAGCCTGCTTTCCCAGGCTGTCTGCAGGGCTTCCTGCAGAGCTGTGGACCTGCACAGAGCCCAGTGCTTCACTCTGTGACTATAGGGGCAGCAAACTAAAACTCCTCGAAGGAGTTTTAGTTTCCTGTGCCCCGAGTTATTTAAGGAGCATTACACTGCCGAATTTCCTACAGCAGCTGGAATTAATGCACAATACACCACTGAGGCGTGCAAACACTCACACCATTAAACCAGTGCAAAAGCATTTAGCCTGCTTTAAAGTGTTGTGCACACATGCCTCTCATTTCGTCTACACACGGCCAGTTGTAAGAACCTTGCTTGCACCAAATTACTAAACACAGGTTTTAAAAAAAAGAGGCTTGAATACTAGATGTGTTTTTGTATATATTTTAGTCATTCTTTTATTTATTGTTGTTTAAAAACCCTTTATCTGACTAACCCATAGGCCAAAGACTACTTAATCAAACCTCCAAATTGCTAGGTTTTTTTTAGACTTGGAGCTTTTTAGGGATCTTTTAAAAAGTGGTAAAAGTGCCAATGCGTTAAGTGTAAATTTCAAATCACTGATACATTTTTTTTAAATGTAAACATTTATTCCACCAGTTTGTGTGGATCTTTTTTCCTTGTATATTTGTTTATGCAGTAGGAATTAGCATGGTCCTGTAAAATAATCAGTGTGATAATTCAGAATACTTAAAGTTTATATGGGTTTTTTTTTGTATACAGTTTTTATACTTAATGCAAAAAGTGACAGGTGCTCTTGGAAATAATTTTCCAGCTCCATAAGGATTGCATATTTGGAGAAAGGTGTCTACTACTGCAAATACTATATAGCACTTGAAAGAGAGTAAGCTCCTAACTTTCCTTAGCTGTGGATCTGCACTGATCCACATTGAAACTACTGACTTAAGAATACTGTTACAATAGTTCTGTTCAGTATCCTGATTTATAACAACATAAACGATAGCTATTTAAAGAGATTTTTGAGTTTTTTACCTATGTTCTAAAATACTGGTACTATTTAAATAAGAATCAAGATCTAGATCTCAGCTGTTTATTCCTTATGACTAATACTGACTGGTATCAGTGTGCTGACTTTTTTTCCCCCTTTTGGGTAATGATGAGACCTATGCAAAAGTTAAATAACCTTTTTCCAGGGCCAAAGCCTTCTAGCTGTACCTCCTCCTAACAGGCCATTAGCTCTAAGAGAGGGAGTAGGGGTGACTGTAAGCTAGATGTGATCACTAACTGTTGTGTGATGTGTTTGATATCTTCAGACAGTTCTATAGCCCTTACTCTTAAGAAGTGTTATTTTTAGAAACTGCATTTCTTTGTAGATTGAGAAGTCCTAAATGTACAACTTTCCTCTTTAGCCCTCTCTTAAATCTTTTTCAAATTACCATATTTTCTTGCATACCACATTTCCCCAGATAAAATATGCACCTTGTTTTGGGAAGGCAGAGTGAAGAAAACAACTCTTCCAAAGTAACAGCTGAATTGAGGTTGTACGGACCAGGGACAGTCTGTTCTTCAACACCACTCGCTCTCACCTTGCAAGCTTGACAGTTCAAGTTTTAACCCTGTCACAGCTGCTAATGGGGTTTGCAAGGAAACAGTGAATGACCTGTGAAGCAGACTTGGCTGCTCTTCCACATGGCTGGGAAGGAAAGGCAGCACAGCCCATGGCATTCATTGTAGCATCTCCATTGCAGCAGGGAAATCCAGCTTCTTTACTTAAAACATATATCTCAGTTGGGGATGGCTAAGTTTTTTTGGGAGGAGGGATGCTATACAAGTAAGACGGACATATTTTTGTGGCCCTGATCCTGCAAACACTCATGTGTTAATATTTTGGAACTGGGACCTTTTAAATCCATATCCCTAAAATGAGGGCTGTGACAATATTTTTAAATCCCTGTTCCTTTGCTGACTGGGCCATACACCTAAGCAACTGGATTTGTATCCAAAAATGTCAGTTTCTCAACAGTTGATTCTGTTTCTAGTCCTTCCAGTTATGAAGGATAGGGTTGTGAATGTGATATTCTCATACTAGAGCAAAACAAACATGAATGTTGTGACTGTGTTTAATATAAGGCTGTCAAAAACATCTCAAGTCATGTCACTGGTTTACTTCCATCTTGTAAACACATTTTTATATGAACTAAAAATGCTAAATCATTCCATAATTGGATGTTACCTGTGGATATTTGTATACAAGTGTGAACATTTTTTAAATAAATGTTTATTGCCTTGGTAGTACTGATATATTTCTTACAGTATAATTACACTTAAATAATGATTAGCAGCCAAGCTTCTATAGTATTTAGTTCTCACTAGCATCTCTTATAACATTAAGCTAGCCTACTCTTAAGATACATTTTGTTCCGACCCACGCCAGCCACTGGAAAGTAGGCATTTCAGATCACAGAACTACAAGTGGCCTCCTTGGCCAATAACTCCAGTCCCCTATGTTTGTAGGTAGCCATTTACCCAAATATGCCTAAAAACTGTTTACTCCATATTCTTGCACATTACAACTACAAGGCACAACAGTCAGAAAATGAGCACTGCAATATTTGCAGGTAAAGTGGCAGGGAGGACAAGGATGCTGCCCATACCCTAGCACTGCAGTGGCAGAAAACTAACTGATTAATATGTTCAGAGGATTGTAGGAACAGAACAGCAACCCCCCATTCCCAGTCTGACTGGTGCGGGGGGAAGAGTTCCTTCCAGTTTGGCCTGGAATGGAAAAGCAAGACCATTTAAACAAGGAACCTATGAAGTACTAGCTTCTCAACCTTAAATGTGATCACTATCCAAATGCTTCTGATAAAGGGAAAAAGTGTGAAACAAAACAAAACAACACCAGAAACTAATAAAGTATTCATGGCAGGGAAGAAGAAAGCCAAATGACAAGGAAAATTAGCCCTTTCAGATCCTGAACTATGGGACTGCTACTACAAGCAACTTCTATACCCCAACATGGGGATTGCCCTTACTCGTACATTCTGATCCTTGAACCAAGGGCTTGCTCTCCTATCATACTGTCCCTTCCATAACTTGCAGAGCTTGATCTAAAGACAGTTACAGTTTTTTACACCCACTGCTTATCCCAGAAGGGCATTCCACATTTTTCTTTAGCAGTTTATTCATAGCACCTTTCAAAGCAGGCAGTTGCCAATGAAAGCTCATGCACCTCTGAACTAATTAGTTTCTAAGATGCCAAGCTGTCCTACTCTCTACCTGACTTCAGACTAGCCTGGCTAACAACCTCTGGCCTCCGATTGACATAATCTTCTAATTTTCCATGTAAGTTGTTCAAAATCAAGTTGTAGCAATTTGTTCTGTGGTCTTCTCCCATGCCAACATTCACCTTTTGAACATATTCCTGAAAAGTAACCATAGCTCCTCTCAATGTTTGTTTTGTTAAACAGGCCAAGCTCCTTCAATTGTTTCATAAGATAGTATCTGTATTCCTTTAATACTCTTAGTATCCTTTTTTGTACTTCCACTTTGACATCCATCTTTTTTTCCCTTTTTTCTATTTTTTTTTTGGACATTGTACAGTTCTGGTTACCCTAGTATTTTTAAATAGGGTCTTACCAATGCCTTGTACATAAGTTCCTAGTACACTTTTGCCCCTCTTATGACCTGCTACTATACTTCCCTAGCCCTCTGCTGAGAACCATGGAAAGCCTCTTGGAAAAACACCAGGCAGCTCTTTTGCTCCCTTCTCTTTCAAACACCCAATCCCCAAAAGACTCATAATACCCTCTTTTGTCTTGCCTAAGATGCTCTAGAACTTCAGTAGCATTTTTTAAAGCTGCAGCACATTAGCAGCTCATAATTGTCCTATGCCTGATCAATAAAGCCAGGACTTGCTGTTTCTAAGTTGATTCCAATTTATAAGCTTCCCTTCCCCCAAGACCATCTTACAGATGGATGTTCTTGTTAAGTGATCCCTAAACTACATTTCACATTTGCATTTTATACTGTTATATATTAGAATAAAGCTTTAATACCTTAGTTCTAT